CCGAATGGCCAATTATGGTCCCCCCGGGATCATATTGACTGTCAAACTAGGGGGATTGTCTACTTAATGACTTGCCAATGTGGCGCCTTTTACGTAGGGAAAACGATTAGGCCCCTTTTCAAGCGTATTCAGGATCATGTATATTTAACATCAAATGGCAAGATGACGACACCAATAAGTCGCCATGTGGGCCTATACCATAATTTTGATTCAACTGTTCTATCGTTCTTTGGGCTGGAGTGCATAAGGGAAGACAAACGTGGGGGAGATTGGGATAAGAAAATACTTCAAAAAGAGACAGGGTGGATTTATAGGCTACGAGCCACACAACCACCTGGGCTTAATGAAACCCTCAGCTTCAAACCTTTCCTTTGAAACCCCTTTCCCCCTCCCTTCCCCCCTCCCTTCCCCTTCCTTCTTTCTTTCCTTCCTTCTTTTTCCTTTCCCTTCCTCCCTTCTTTTTCCTTTCCCTTCCTCCCTTCTTTCCCCCTCCCCCTTTTTCTCTTTCCCCCCTAGAAGGAATGGAAGTGCGGAAAATGTTTTGAGGTTCTTCCCTCATACCTAGTGACATAATAGATTGACTCTTCTATCTGCCTTTAGAATCAACAAACAATGTCCTTGAGGAGCCATTAACAATCTATGTTTTTCTCATGGCTATTTTAACAATGATTCCATACCACCAAAATGCCTATTAGGAATCACCATCAACCTCAACCTATAGAGATAGAAGTGTGGGAAAACCCCCTTCTGGGATGGCCGGCAGGATTATCCTGGGAACCTCCTCGCATCTCTCCAACCATGGTCGCCATTTTAATTAACTACACCTGACCCCTTATGCGGATGTTTAGATCTTTCTCTTTTTCCCCCTTCTTTAATAGAAACGAGACATGCGCTATGGTCATTTTATCTGACCAAATATCTAAGGAATGGCTGAGGCTCCCCGGACGGCGCGGTGACGTCATTATGCCCCCTCTGTTCGTCTTTTATAGACCTTTACCATACTGTTCGCCTTTCGCCTCCTGCTCAAAATTGGGTCACTAGACCTCCACCTTCCTTGGCCCCCTGGGAAGGACCACTTTGGGTGCGCCGCCTGGACGGGCTCATTGGGGAGCACATGCATATACCTGCTTGTGTGCAACCAGTAGGTAAGATTTGACCTAATTCACCTCTCATTAGGATAACAACAATGGTAGAGATTATATATATTGTTTTTCTATATTACACAGATATCTCCCTTCTCTTCCTGAAGAAGCGCAGAGTTGCGCGAAACGTTGAAATCGCTCCTCCATACCCTTACTTTCCATTAGCAATTACCATTGTTTACTTCACCATAGATCAGTTTTGACTAGTTTTGTCACTCTGTATAAAACAACTATCTAAATAGGCACACTATGGTGGCCATATTTCGCTTGTGGGGCAGTACCAGTGGAGAATAAGCTTGCTCCACCTCCAAAAACCTTGAGCATTGATCCCAGGCTTTCGGTTTATATATATATGATTTTTTGATATTTACACAGAATGAACTAACCCTGATCATGTATGCCCACACAGTCAAATGGTGAATTGTACTGCTCCTATATCATGATTGTTTGTAGTATATCCAGATCTTGTTAAAAACCCTATGAATTATGTAAAATTATTGTCTGAAGTATGGTTTATTGTGGTGGCCATACCTTATAGGCCTATATTCATGAATTTTTGATACTGGATGAACTAACTCTGACAATGATTGTGTTGACCCACAAAGTCTAATGAGGAATCATACGGTTTTGAACTGGATTATGATTGAGTATTGTACCTAGATCATGTACAACAATTTCTTATTAACTATTTGAATTCTGTGGTGTTGCTACTATAATGGCCTTACTCTGCTCCTAGGGCAGTGTTAGTGGAGAGCATTCTTGTTCCACTCCACAGCCCCGCGAGCATTGTTTTTGTGGGCCTCCTTTATTGAACTCTGGACATTGGTTATATTAACCCCAATCATGTATGTCATTAAGACCATATGGTGAATCAGGTTTGCTTTGTAAATGGAAAATGTTTTGTGGACTTGGAAAGAGCTTCTAGGGACTATCTACCTAATTAGCTATTTTTAATTTTTGCATTCAAGCCAAGATCCAGGTCAAAATTTCTTTATCTTCTACAGATGGCAGCAAATCCTCTGCATATCCTTTGAAAGAAAGTGAGATCTCCTAGCCCAGAGGGATGAGCACCACTTGAGCCATCAAGGCTGTGTTTAACAAAGTGGCTTTCGAGTTGAAAGATCAAGGTTTCTCACCAGGCATTATCACCGTCTTATTGAAAGCAAGGATAGGAACAATGAACGCCACTTGCAGACAAATCTGGAGCAATTTTGTTCAGCTTGTGGAAGAAAATCAATTTCCAACATTCTCACTAAAGCTTAGCAATGTTTAAGTTTTCATACAATCAAACTTAGACAATTGTTTAAAACCCCTAAATATTGGCCTTATCTTGCTTTGCTAGGACACGGTGGGCAGAACACTCTGTGACACTTTATGCAGAATGTGCCCTCCAAAGAGGTTCTTATGTCCATCTGTGGACATAAGAACCAAAGATTTCAAAACATTACTAAGACCTTAGACAAGACATTAGTCTTGAAATGTTAATGCTGGCCTCTAATGTGTCTTTGGAGATGTGCACCACTTGGCTCCTGACTAGTGATGGACAAATCTGCTCAGGTTCAATTTACCACTAGTCGCATTGAAGTCTATGTGGGGCATATCTTGTTAAATTCTGGCCATTTTTAAGGCTAATAGACAAACTACTGTAAAAAAAAAAAAGGCTTGCCCATGTGCAATGGTAAAGAAATACTATACAACAAGGAGAGGGTCTTTCATGTGGCTTAGAGGGCAACATTAAAAATACACAAATATTAAAATATCATGCTTGGAGAATGCATTAAATATGTGTATGGTGTTACAGAAGAATACTTCCTGGAGAGTCTCAGCAACAATCTTATGTTTGGCTGTGGAATATATTTTTTTTCTTTTCCAATAAACTTGTCTTACATAAAGCAGCAGCATCCCTACCTGATTCATTTTAGTTTTTAAAAAAGGCTTTTATTTAGCAACAACATAGTTATTTCACATCTCTCTCCAGAGTTTAGGCCGGAATAACTAATTTGAAAAAATTCTCCAATTCAGCTCACTTTCCAGGTCAGCTATGTTGTCCTAGATCAGCGATGGCGAACCTTTTTGAGCCGAGTGCCCAAACTGGATCACTAAACAAACGTACGTGTCTCAGAGTGCCAACCCCGCACTTCGACCCAAATACCGATGATTTATCTTACAAACACACTTCATACCACTGTTTTAACTAATTATGTGCTTAAGGTGGGCCTCTGCATTTGTCTGTATGTGCTCTTGGGGGCTGTGCAGCTTCCAGGTGGTCCATAAGTGCTCTTAGGTGGGCTCTGCATTTGTCTGTATGGGCTCTTGGGGGCTGTGCAGCTTACAGGTGGTCCATATGTGCTCCTAGGTGGGCTCTGCGGTTGTCTGTATGGGCTCTTAGGCACTGTGCAGCTTCAAGGTGGTCCATATGTGCTCCTAGGTGGGCTCTGCGGTTGTCTGTATGGGCTCTTAGGCACTGTGCAGCTTCAAGGTGGTCCATAAATGCTCTTAGGTGGGCTAGATGGGCCCTGCAGTTGTGTGTATGGGCTGGAGTGGGGATGGGCTGTGCAGCATCCAGGTCATATAAAAGTGGTGGTCCTTAAGTGGTCTCTAAGGAGGGCTATGCGGCTAAGGGCAGATCCAGCTTTCTAATCAGACGGCCTCTCGCTGCTGGCTAGGGCCCTGTGAGGCCCCCTAATATGTTCTCCTATGTCTGAGGTAACGGTGCCAATGCTAGAGCGCGTGTGCCTCACCTACCTTAACAGTCGTTGACATCACTGCGCCTGCGCAGCTCCTCGTCTCGTCCTCACTGCGCTTGCGCGGCAGCAGATGACAACGTCTCCAAAGCACTTTTCTGCACCTGCATGTCCATCAGTGAACTTTGAAACTTTACGGCGGACCTGGGCAGAAACGGCCCTGTGTGCCTGCTCTGGCACGAGTGCCATAGGTTCGCCACCGCTGTCCTAGATTGTTCACTTCTCCAAACTCTTCACCCTTTTGTGAACAACCCTTTCAGTACTGGTAAATTAGCAATCAGGTGTGAATGCATGTGCAAAGTCCAGTGGCATTTTTAACACATGCAAGCTTTTGTACTTTGCAGGCCACATGTGGTAAAAGCAGCAACACATTATAAAACAAGTCTACTTTGGATTTCTGGTAATTCCCTTCAAAACTCTGCGGTAGAAGTAGCATTATTTGGAGTTAAAATGAGGTCCTGGTTTTACAATGGGTCTTCTTGTTTTATTGGAAGGTGTTAAGAATTTATTTTTCACCTTAGTTTAGTAAAAGCAGTTTTATCCATAAAAGAAAATTGATAGCAAAGAAGTTGATAGTTTCTTGTGGGATGAGGATATGTTAATGTGCAGGCTCCAACTTTCTCCTTGCAAGGTAAGGAGCCTCTGCATGATAAAGTGTATGTGCACCTGCTCCACCCAGAGGGAATAATATCTGAATGAGATCTGTAACAGCTTGGGAATCTCGGGAAATTTTTAGGCTGTGTCCTTTATTTTCACGTGTTATAGTTCTTTACCAGTGTCAGTTACAGGGTTGAAACAAACCATTTAATACTGACAGGGGAGGCTTACCATGGTTAGCTCTTATTATGGTATGTAAAACTTCTATCCCTAAAGGAAAAAATCTGAAAAAAGGAAAAAAACTGTTGCTGTATTTGCTTAATCCCTAAATTGGGAAGTATGTTACTGCCTGGATCACCAGGTGAAAATAAAGGAAAACAAAAGCTAAAAAAAGAAAATTAATGCAACCACCACATTCAAGGATGGGTAAGCGGTATCCTTAAAAAAGATGCAATATGTTACATTGTTGGTTTGGGGTTTAGATATGCTTTAAGCAAAAAACAAAAAGCTAAGGTGTATAACAGCATGGGCACCATCAATCAGGATGCCCTGGACAAATTAAAGTATCCTTCTATAACAATGTACAAGGCAGAACACACATACCAATTCAGAAATTTGCCATCATGTGGTTCTCTGCACCCTTTAGGTTCAGGCAGAGCCGTAGCTAGCTCCTTTTGTGCCTGAGGCAAGAACAGAAAATTGTGCCCCCCAAACAGACGTCATGCGCCCCCTGCTTCCAGGATGGCGGGGCGCAAACTTTAGTCTATTTTGGATTTGGCCACCAGTGCATTATGAATGGATAGAAGCCTCTATAGTGAGTGCTACTACCCATTCAGAAACTCATGAATGAACAGGAAGTGATGTAAAGCACTTCCTGTTCATTAATAACTGGAGACACATTCTACTATGTGTCCCCAGTTGTTTTAAAACACTGGAGTGATCAGCTGTTTGCTCTGCACACAGAGGATTGGCACATATGTTTTCTCACCACAGGGCCATCCGGAATGACAGCTCCCTCCTCCTCCACCCCCCATCCCCCGCTGGCTGCAGCACTCCATTTCTCATCAGATCCCTGCTGCCTCTCCCCATATAGGTGGGGGAGAGCAGCGGGGATCAGAGGAGAAGCTGGAGCTTGTGCCACCCTTCTCCAACAGAATAATATTGGCCAATGAAAACATCACCCAGAATCCACAGTGGTCCTGATGGGGGAGAAATATCTAGACCCTGAAATCCGCTGCTGCAGTAGTCATCTCCCTCCTGCCAGAAACAGAAAGATTATACGTTGCTATTTAATAAATATTATTTTTTTATATAACAAGGTCTTGCTGCCAATTGCTCACTGAATTGCTCAATGAAACACAGTGAATGCTGACCAATGCTGCACATTGTATTGTAACAAATAGGTTAATGAAAGAATCCTTTTAACATTGTATCACGGTTTTAACCACAAGTTACCAAAACTATATCGAAACAATATTAGATGAGTCCCCATTTGAGGTTTTTGGCACTATAATAATGTAGTGCCAGAGCTGTAGCTAGCTTCTTTTGCGCCCGAGGCAAGTACAGAAAATTGTGCCCCCCAACAGACTTGTGCGATATGTGACGTAATGCGCCCCGCCTCCAGGATGGCGGCACACATACGCAGAATGCGCTGGTCCCTGAATCCAAAATAACATAAAAATTTGTTTCGTTTTACGAGACTAATGAAAACATTTTTAGTTTCCGTTCATTTCGTCCAAAATAAATTTTTTAGTCTTTGCGCATGTCTAGTAATGTGTGTGTGTGTTGGGGAGGGTGTTGGGGGGCTTGGGAATAATATCAGGGGTCTAAACAGACCCCTGACATTTCCCTTTTTGAAATTGAAAAAGAGATTGAAGACACACAATCCTCTGCCCATGCAGGAGGGGAAGAGCAGCGGGAATTCGAGGAGGAGCTTGAGCCTGTGCTGCTCCTCTTCTCCCTGCCGAGCCGTGGCTGTGATGACTGCCTGGCGCCCCTGTTGCCATGGTGCCCTGTGCTTGCCATAACAACAGGGGCAAGAGGGTGCCAGGCCTGCCCTGGCTGCCCCCCTCAGCTGCGCCTGAGGCGAGTGCCTCACTTGCCTCATGGTAGCTATGGCCCTGGCTCCAAGGACCACGGTGCTGCCAACAGGTGTTCTAGTTTCTAATATGGGCTGCTTCATCAGCTAATAGGAAGCATCCACCTAATGAAAAGGGATGGATGGGTTTTTTGTATTTCTTTCTCTCTCAGAGATAATGTTTAAAGTAGATCTAATTCCTAACTAGATGACTGGAAAAATAGCTATTATTTGTCCTTATAAACATTTACAAGATTTGTAGGGGAAATCACGGAATTAATCAAGGTGAGAACTGGCAGCATTCCGGACGAGCAAGCAACATTTTCCACATACTTCCCCATCTTTGTTTGGGCAGTGAGAGATTTTAATCTGGAACTGGAGATTAATGGGCAGATGGTCACAGAGGATGATTACCTGGAGAACGCCTTAAAGCTTAAAACACGTATGTATGTGACTTATCTGTAAACTGAACCAAGTACTGTAACTTGAATCATTGTATTGTAGTCATTACATAAGAAGCTAGGAGACTTAAAGTGAACATATGCAATGTCATTCAGGGAAAAGTAATAGGATTTCTCTATTGGCCCACCCCCACCTCACCAGCAGTCTATCCTTGCCTTTCCTTCACCTACTCTCTGCTCTGTTTAACACCAGTAGTCAAAGGAAATACCTGGCACTTATATATGCATGAGAAATATTAAAATGGTTTTATCCACTTCCTGGTCTTTACTGCTCACCTGGGACCAGAGAGGGAAGATGTTTACAAGAGATGAGCACACTAGGGATGCACCGATACCGTTTTCTCGGTATCGAGTACGAGTACCGATACTTTGCTTTCGTTACTCCTCTATACCGAGTACTGATACCAGTGCTTCCGCTGGTATGGAGCCAGCTTCCCGGGCAATCTGATTGCCCAAGAAGCTGGCTCCATGCTGTCTGGCCGGCTTGATTGTGCTTGGCTGGGAAACTGGCTTCCCGGCCAATCAGGAAGCCAGGGAGGCGGGTCATTACTCACCGCCCCGCTTCCTGATAGCACGGCAAGCTGGCTCCATGTTCCCCTACGGCACTGATGGTCAGATGAAATCTTCCTCTGACCGGAAGTTCCGGTATCGGGGAAGGTATCAGAGTATTTGGATGAGTACGAGTACTCATCCATATACTCGGTATCGGCACCGAAACTGATACTAGTATCGGTATCGATGCATCCCTAATCTGTATGATAAAGTGTGATTTGGCTGATTTTTTTAAAAATTCACGGACCTTCAAAATTTGAAATCTCAGAACAAAAACCAAAGTAACAAATCATGCCAAATTGTACATAATGGATTGGGAAGCTCCTGGAAGCCTATTCTGATGAGATGATGGGGCCAAAATACAGAAAAACATTTATGATATGGGACTTAAATGTCATAAAATATAGCACTGAAATATACCTATAAAGTCTGTCTGTCTGTCTGTCTGATCTGGCTTCCAGGAATTTCAGGATTTCTTTAAATTAAAAAGTGCTCATTTTGGTCTAGGGGCTAAAATAAAGAAAATACACTCACTTGATCCTTGGTCCCACTTGGCTGAGAGACAGGTCCCCACAGCCTCTGTTCCCATGGGCTTCGGTGGTCTAAGGACCTATGACATCATCATGTCTTATTGCCAGGATGCCAAAGGAAATGCCAAAACCGGAGCAGGGGGGTAGAGAATGGGCACTGATCGTTTCAGGGCATAAATTGTCAGTGCAATATGAATACATTTAATAAATAAACCTGGAAGGTATCAGGTTCAGAGCTGTCAAAATAAGTCCCGCGATGGTAAGACATTGACAAGTTATACTGTACATAGAAACCAAATAAATCTGTGTTGTAGAAGGGTTCATGCCATGTTGCACTAGAGAAAACAACATATTACAACTTTATAGCATGTTCAGTGCAGTGCATGTCTTCTCTGGAAAGATCCTTTTCATTGCCTAGGAGGTATGCTGAAAATTGCCATCTACTTTTAGGTTTGCAGCCTACAAGCAAATGCACTGAAATCCATAAAAAGTTCCCTAAATCCTAACATTATGCTAATTGTTTTTCAAATGCCCCACTGCAGGTGTTAAAAATAAGCCCCTCACAGTACAATACAATTTTTTCACTCAGCATCAATCAAATCAGAAAACTCAGGACAGACTGTGAGTACAGGGGGTTATGGGTGTCAACACAGCAACTTGCACTGACTATGTAATGCTGCCGAGGGTAGCACTCTTAGCAGCATTGTGGGCCGCTCATTGCCGTGTGAAGACCAAAGAGGATCTTGTGGCATCTTGCGACTGGCCGGAGGACTTCGGATACAGGTAAGAATGAATAAAAAATAAAGCATTAAATACTGCTGGGGGGACCTTTTGGAGTTGGGGGAGGCATGGGGAGCAGGGAAAGTAATCCTAGAGTAAAATAATCCTAGGGAAGGTATAGACTCAGCAGATACCAACATTTATCAAAACTACTAACATTCCAAATCTTAACTCTTACATTTCCTATTTGCTTTACAAAAGCTGAGAGGTCACCTGACGATAAGGAGTATAATGAGCTGAGGAATCGTCTCCGGATGTATTTCGGGAAACGGAGATGCTTTGTGTTTGATGCCCCAGCTGACTCCAGAAAACAGCTTAAGGATTTGGAACATTTACCCGATGATAGACTGAATGAGGATTTTGTGCATCAGAGCGCCCGTTTCTGTGACTACATTTTCAAGAACGCCGAGGTTAAGAGAGTGGACATCACAGTTGATGTCACTGGACACAGTGAGTTCATCTAATGTTGTATAGCTTTAATCAAATATATTAAAGTGTATCTAAACCCCAAAACAAAAGTGTAATATATTGCATCTTATCAGGCCTTAGATGTGGTAGCTGCATTAGTTTTCTACCATCTGGCTTAGTTTTCCTCATTTTCACCTGGTGATCCTTCCAGTAACATTCTTCCTGCTCCAGAGTGAAACACTCATTCATTGTACTGTACATATGGTGGAGCAGTCCTGTCACCCTGGGCTGCTCTTCTGATTTGCACTATGAGTCCTGCCTCCTCTTCTCATCTCCATTACATATCTAGGATATCTGGGAACAATAATTTTCAATTTTCCTCAGGACTGGGTGAGCTGACAAAACTTTACACTGAAGCTATAAACTCCAATGTTGTCTGCTTGGAGGAGGCGGTGGTTTCCTTGGCTGAGAAAGAGAACAAAATTGCCATTCAGGAAGCAAGTGAGCATTATGAGAACAAGATGAGGACAGTTGTGATGCCCACTGAAACACTCCAACAATTCCTGGATCTGAGCAGTCGGTTTGAAGATGAAGCTCGGAAGATATTCCTGAAAAGATCAATTAAGGATAAAGATAAGAAATTCCTTAAAGAACTTATGGTGAGTATTGATGTTGTGTATAAATTCTGCTGAGTGTTCAGGGAATGTTGAATGCCTGTTGTCCCTGTCATCCACTGTGGTTCCTTCCTTCAAGCCCAACGTCACTGCTGTGTCCTGTAGTGAATTAGGGTTTGGAAGAAACAACCATGGTGCACAGAGGGGAACACATCCATCCAACACTCCCAGGTTTTCAAGTGCAAAGGACACTGAAAGAGGCTTTAGCACTGAAGCAGAGGGGGTGTAGTATGCACCAGCTGCTTGAAGGATAACATGCAGTGACTTCTTACTCTTGACAGGGTTGCTTTAAAGACGAACTTTGGGATTTTAACAAACGTAGGTGCTCATGTTGTCTAGGTGGATCGAATAAAGCAGTACACTCAATACACTCAACTGATCCCTGGTCCCTCTGGGCTGCTAGAATGCTTCTCGCAGCTTCTTCTACCCTGGGCCTCGACTGTCTAAGAACCACTGACTTCATCATGTGTTTTGAAGGTCCACTGACTTGCATTAGATGTGAGGACCTTGAAGTACATTCCATATCTGAAACAGAGGGGAGACGAGGTAAACACTGACTGTCACAGGAGTATTTCTGCTTTATTTGAGTCCCCTAGACAAGTTGGGATTTACTGCTGGTATCAACTGTTCTCTGTTATTCCATGACTTACCAGCCCAGCAAAGAAGATGGATGAGCAGCCGAAGCTACTGTAGTGCTGAACTTAAGGTGGCCATACACTCTACAACCATCGCAAGACTTTAGACTTTAGTCTTGCGATGGTTGTAAAGGGATAAAAAAAACGTACGATCTGCCTATCTTGGACAGGCAGATCGCACTCTCGATCATCGCAAGCCCGCCCCCCTGAGGGGCGGGCTTCCGATGACCGCAATGCTGAACGGGCAGTGTGCGCGTTATCGTACGAAAACCCGATCGCATACGATTATCGTGCGATAATCGTGCAGTGTATGGGCACCTTTAGGTCTATAGTGTGACAGAAGGGCCTGACATGCCACTTTCTGAGTCAGAGCTAGAGCTCTACAATCAGCAAACCTCATGACTTCTGCTGATTGGGGAGCTTTTGCCTTGACTTAGCAGGTGGTGTGTTGGACCTCTGCCAATTACAGCAATAAAAAACATTTTAATGTTTATGAGTACTTTCCAAGGCAGCCTGCCAGCTACTGTTGACTACAGCCCCTTTTATATGGGCTGATAAGGAGAGTATCTGTGCAGGGATCCTCTCCTGATCACATCAGTACGGAGCGGATGTCACCGCTGTGACATCTGTGTCCGTGCATTTTTTTTCTTCCATCCGTCTCCATCTGTCTGTTCAGTTCAGTTTACTGAGTACAAAACAGCTATAAAGGAATACACTTACCACACTTTTCCCTCTGCCTTGCTTTCAAGGATGACCAGTTAGATGTGACAGCCCGGAACACTTTATGCCAAAGCTTGTCTTTCTGGATGCAGTCACTGAAAACCTTGCAGGAGGTATCCCACAAGCTTGGTCATTCATGGACGAGGTTGATGAGCACCTCATGAGATACATCGCTCACCAAGCTTGCTCTTAGGCCTCTTTTACACAGGGATCCTTTCCTGATCACAGCACTTAGTATCGGATGTCCCCGCTGTGACATTTGTGTCCGTAGAGTTTCAATCCCTAATCTTGGAAAGGAGGAGAAAACTGTATTTACTGGACCCTGTGCCAGTCTATGGGGAATCTTATGTGAACGGACATGTATCCGTTAACATTAGATTACTCCCAATCCGGCATGATTCAGTCCATCAAAACGGAACACTGTTATATTTGTTTTTGTGGATCTAGCCGGAGGTGGGAATAACGGGTTGTAAACATACGATCGTCTGTTTACACATGGCTGCACATAGACTTGCATTGGGCATCTGATCGAGTCCGCTTGGAAAACTGACAGGCAGACCAAATCAGACTGACCATGTGAAAGGGGCCTTAGAGATGCATTGTAGTCCGTTTTCCACCTGCAAACGGAAGGTTGGAAACCTGACAACCTGTGTGAAAGGGGCCTAAAGCAGTCCTCTTCCTATCATTATCATTTCCACAAAAAGCCAGTTTGCTCCTTATTTTACCCTCTTTCCTCTCCACAGAGGATTAACTCGTCCAAGCTTACATGCTACTGCAGAGATGCAGAGCCTCAAGTGCAGTCAGATCATGTGTGTATGACTGATTGTCCTTCTAAGTCTATGGTTGGCCTTATTTTTTTGCAGCTTTGGCCTTGGTTAATAGTGCCATTTTTTTGGAGCAAGCAGAGTATGGAATCAGCTTGCCCAAACTCAAACCCCACTTCTCCCATGGCTCTATCTAAAATGCTGTTTCCAGTAGCCCTAAAAGCTTGAAGTTTCTAAAAGGTACCTATTACAGCCATATTTCTATTAAGGTTAGGTAATAGGAGGGAGTGTAAAGAGTTAAACTTTATTATAGATGTTCCTACCATATAACTAGTTAAAAAAGTTTGAAAGGGAACTAACGTTTTTTAAATTTCCATTCTATCAGAAAAATGTAACAAAGAAGAGATTGGATTTTATCTTTGCAAATGAGACGAAGTCTCGGGAGGTGTGCGCGGCTCTTATTAAGAAACATTCTGCAGACTTCGAGAGAGCTTTGGCTGAAGGACAATTCAGCATACTTGGAGGACATGCAAAGTTCCTGCAGAGCTTAAAAGCCCTAAAACAAGAATATATTAGGGAAGAAAGAAAAGGTGTGAAGGTAGGTAGACCTGTTACGTCATTCAAAATAAATTAAGAAGTACAACATTTTTCTGCATCATAAAATCACAGAAAAAATGTATTTGCTGTATTGTAAGAACGACAATGTTGCAGCTGTCAGTTTTTGAGTTTAACTAAGTTCAGTTTTAGAACAGGATACAAATTACATTAGACTTTAAAGGGAGACTCAGCACTGTGGTTCCAGCAAATGTATCCACCCCCTATAGAGATCTCACCGGAGCTTACTATATACAGTGGTACCTCGGTTCACAAACTTAATTCGTTCCGCCATTCTGGTCGCGAACCGATTTGGTCGTGAACGGAATCAAACTGTGATCTTGATTGGAGGAAGCCATGACCATGTGTCAGAGCAGGGAAAATGGCTGCGGTTGTGTTCGTCACCCGATGCGGAGTTCGCAAACAGAGGCAACATTTTGCTGAACTTCCTGTTCGCAAACCGAATTGTTCGCAAACAGAAGCGTTCGTGAACCGAGGTATTACTGTATCTATATATTCTAAATTATACATTGTTTTAAGTACAAGTGCCTTGAACTGCTCCCTCTCCCTGTCCTAAAAATAAACTCAATAATATAGTTAATCCCAAAACTTGAATCTTGTAGATACAGGCAGAATTTTATTTAATCTAATCCAATATTCAGTATAATTTTTTGGTGGTTTGCATTTTCAAAAGGCTTCTGGGAGAAAGTGTAATACTCTACCCCCTTCTTATGGAGTTCAATTAGGGATCTCAGGGCACAGCCCACTCTGATAAGGAAGTGGTTCAGGCTGGGGACACTGCTATAACCCTCTTAGGTGTGGTGAGGGATTGCAGCTCCCACAAACATCATATACCACTGAAACAAAAAAGGAACTACCAGTGTATTCCAGCATACAAGGTAATCAATACTGTACACAGAAGTGAAGTTTACGTTTAGCTCAGCGCAATCTATATCAGGCCTTCTTAAACTTTCTCCACGTGTGACCCCTTTTCGGCTGAGGACATTTTTAAGGGACCCCAACGTCGGTCGGTGTCTCCCCCCTCCCCTAGCGTAAGTCGGTGTCTCTCTCTAGATACATTAAACTGAAACAAAACAATCTAGCTTGGTGCCCAGACCTCCTCGGCCACCTGGACCCCTCACACAAGTACTGGCCATACCCCCCTAATGGCGGTCCTGGTCGGGTACTCGGATCGCGACCCCCCTGTTCACTTGGGGGACCCCATATGGGGTCACAACCCACACTTTAAGAAGCACTGATCTATATGATGAACAACTGTATTGAATAGCCTGAAGGTATATGGACATATATACAGTGTGAGTCCTTTTACAGAGTGAGTTTTAAGCAGCTTGCATAGGAGGTTGCAATGTAGTTCTTGCCAGCAGATGGCGATACTGTCAAGTTGCACAATAATCACATTGCCTGTACTCTGTTACTTGCGGTTTGAGATACTTCCTAGCAGTGTAGTCTTGCCACAATCCTGAGAGGAGATAAGCAGTGGAGATCAGGCTCCTTTCCCCTTCACTCCTGTGAAGTTTCAGGCTGGTGAGTAGCAGGGATGAGGCAGTTCAGCAGGCGGGTAGGAGAGCAATTGCTCAACGTACAGTCTCCATTGACTGAACGCCGAGCAATTGAATCTCCCTCGCTTTTAACGAGGGTGTCGGCGTCCGTGGGCGGAGCTACACTCGGCGGCTCAGGGAGCGCAACGTCACGGCGTGACGTCTGAGCTGGAGGAGGGGCCGGGATCTGCGGCCCAGACGCCGCAGCTGAGAGCGTCCCTGACAGAAAGGGACCAAAAGTTGTTCCAAAGGCTGTTTGGCCTTACATCTGCCTCTGCTGTTCCCTGAGCACCCCTAGCTTTTCTCCCAGACCCCATCTATCTATCTTAGTATCCTTGTTAGAAGCTTTTTGGAGCTTTAATTTTTTTGTCACTATCATCTTATCAGGAAGGACTGCCCATAGTTTCCCAAACTATTCTGTGCAATTATTTTCTGCTGTGTAATAAACACTTTTTGGAGCTTGGTTCAGATTCCCATTGACTTTAATAGGATTTCTGGTTTAGAAGTTGAGAATTTCAGGTTTGCACATTTTTCAACTGTTTGGCCCAACCACAACTGATCAAATTTTTCAGAGGTTTACTGAACTCTTCTGACTAGATACATAAGAAGGTAATTGCATAAATACTATTAAGGCAATGACCAACCCAACACCAATTTAAAGTGTACACAAAGCCAAAAACAGTTGTCTAGCTTTGTAGTGTGTAGGGGGTGAGAGATTGATCCTTAAGGGGTTTTACTGCAATCTGGGCCTCCCCAAGGGAGATTTCCCTTTACTTTCTGCCCTGCCAAATGGTTTCACCAGACAGGAAGTGAGGACAACGTTCTAACAGCAACACAGACAAAAATAGGATAAAGGGATTCTAGTTTTCCTCTACTGAAGAACATCATTTTTATTTCTGTCTGTGTTGCAGTTGAAAACATCCCCTCACCAGACATGTGCGCCGTTTTCATTCAGACTTTTCATTATTTCGTTTTTCAGGATTCGAGTCCGAAAGTCAATTTGTTCTGGGATTCGGACAAAGTATGAATTTTAATTGCAGCAAAGTGACATTAAACAAAAGAAAAAAAAGTTTTTTTTGTTTTTTTTTACAGTCCGCACAAGAAGAAAAAAAAAAGACCCTTTAGGTATGGTAAGAATGTTAGGAGGGGCCCCCCAAGTAAAAAAAAAAGTGTGTGGGGTTCCCCCCAAAAGTCATACCAGGCCCTTTAGATCTGGTAGAAATATTAAGGGTGCACCCAACCCCCAAAATATGGGGGGGGGGAATTGGGGTCCCTCCTAAAAATCCTACCAAACCCTTTATTCGAGCACAGTCCCAGCAGGGCAGGAAAGGGGGGGGCGATCAAGTGCCCCCCTCCCTGTGCCATATCAGCATTGGGAGGGTGTCCCCATGCTGATGGGGACAAGAGCCTCTTTCTCACAACCCTGACCTGGTGGTTGTGGGTGTCTGTGGGCGGGGGGGCTTATTTGCACCCAGATGCCGCCCCCCTTTTGAATGAGTAACCCTTACCCATTTACTAAAGTGTTAAAAGTAAATGTAAATAAACACACCACACATTTAGAAAAAGTCCTTTAGTTGAAAAAAAACCCCCAAACAGTCAGTTTATAAAGACTACATACTACATACATACATACATAACATAGCTTGGCTGGGCTTTGCTTTGCTACCTCAGCTAAAGGTTAGACTAGCTAATCCTGTGCGTAGAGATTAGTCGTGTCTTTTCTACATTAAATACAGTATCTAAATATTGTTCAATTTCTACAGGCTGAAGAGGTGCTCCAGGAATACTTGATATCCAGACAAGCTGCTGAAATAATAATCATACAAGAGGACAATGCTCTGACACAGAAACAGAAGGAAGAGGAAGGTGAATTATTAGCTCGTCATCACTTACTGTCACAGTTAGAGGTCAGGTTTTTCTGCTTTCAACATTTGGTCCCTTTCCTGCCATCCAGTTGCCTAGATGCATTGCTGCACTGGATCCTGTGAATAGTAGGTAAAGTGTATCTAAACCCACAACCAAAAATGTCATATATTTCAGTTTACCAATCCTTAGGTGTGCTGGCTGCATTAGTTTTCTTTTTTGAAACTTTTTTACTTTTTTTTTTTCACTTGGTTATCCTGCCAATAACACACTTTCTGCCCTAGGGTGACAGCATTCACTGTAATGTATCTATAAAGGAGCAGCGTTGTCCTCCTAGGTAGTGATGGGCTCGGGCGTGTTCGCAAGGTCCACGTGCGGAGCCCGCCAGGAAGCTGACAGCGCGCAGCGCCAATCACTGGTACTGAGACATTTTCCCGGTCCGCAGCTGCAGAGATCGGGAAATGTCTCAGTACCTGTGATTGGCGCTGCACGCTGTCAGCTTCCTAGTGCGGAGCCCGCCAGGAAGCTGACAGCGCGCAGCGCCAATCACTGGTACTGAGACATTTTCCCGGTCCGCAGCTGCAGAGATCGGGAAATGTCTCAGTACCTGTGATTGGCGCTGCACGCTGTCAGCTTCCTAGCGGGCTCGGCACGTGGAGCTTGCGAACACGCCCAAGCCCATCACTACTCCTAGGCTGCTCTATTGATTTGGACTGGAAACACCTCCTCCTCTCATCTCCATTACAATGGAGGTAGGGGAATCTTTTGAAACTCACGGAAGATAGCTCGGAGTGCTGATAACACTTTTGGGGATTTCAGTGCACAGGAGGTGACAAGGACACTGCATTCCTGGCAGAATCAACAGGTATTTTCCAATCTTTCAGAAAATGTTTTTGGGCTGAAAAAATAAAACATGGAATCGCACACCACCCGTGATCACGCTGGTGGTGCCATTAATTTCTAATGGCACCCCAGTTGCTCTGGGTGGATCGCACGGTTTCCCGCCACCATTCCGCCCATGCAATTGAATACGATCGCAGCAAAAACAGCTGTACCTTTTTTCTGTGATTGCCATGCAGATGTAACCTCATTGATATCAATGGGGCCGCACAGCAACCGCTGTGTGCATCTGCACACAATAGCATGGTCCCGGGACGCCTGGGTCTGCACCAGCCCTTAAGCTGCACACAATTATATTTTGGTTCTTGGGTTTAGATACACTTTGAATTGAAAACCTGTACTCAGCAAAACAAAACATTAGTTCACTTAGCCAGTTAAATACTTCACTTAGCCCACACCGTTTGTTTTAGTAACTGCCAGGGCAGATGGGATGAGATGAATAAGGTATAAGTCTCAAATTTGACCCTCAGGCCTTGTTTCTATGGGCTTGAGCTAGTATAAATCCATTGCGTACAGGACACTTTTGAAAAACATTTTCAGTCCTCGTTAATTTCCACTTTCAGTAGGGCAAACACAGATCATAAATGGACAATGGCTGTCTGCAATTAGGAAGCTTTAGCAGATTTTCCACAAGCTTCAAGTAGCGCTGAAGTCTTTTGAAGTCTGCTAGCAGCTTGTTTAAATTGACAAATGGAGCCCCCATTATAATCTGTGTTTAACCTCCCCAATCAACATTTTTAAGGTAGGTATCTATAACAGGGCCAAGATATATAGTTATAAAAACTATTGCAGAGCCATTCATCCTGCAAAATGGCATGCACATTTTTTTCTGTGTAAATGGGGGCAAAATGAATGTTGTTAGTATATTTTCTTTGCAGATTAAATGTAATTTATTCATAAGATTAGAGTAAAGTAGGAAAATACTTCATGGATCATGGGATCATGGGAAATAAATACTTATTCCCTATGATCCTCAGATCCATCCAGTGTCCATAATGCGGTATTTCCCTGATATTGCGTTGGAACTGAAAATAAAATATAACAATAACATTAATTTTTTTTCTCCATTCACATAGTTCGAGTGTACATGCAGTTTCACGGGACAAATGGGTCTGCAAATTTTTTATAAATACTCCCCTTATATTTATACTTTTTTTTCCTGCCTGTTTGGTTTGTCAGAGATACTCAATAGAAAACAAATGGAGGAAATAAAAGAAAGGCTTGCACAACTGGAAGAGGAGGAGAAGAATCAGAAGTCATCTGAAGAGATGGCCAACCTTATGAAGACTGTTGAACAGTTACAGGAGATGTTAGTGGAAGAGAGAAGAATTATGAATGAGAAGCTGGAACAAGTCGTCAAGGAGAAGGAAATGGTAATACTCATGAATTTTATACATTTATTAGTGGTGTCCGTCAAGGTTCAGTATTAGTGGTGTCCCCCAAGGCTCAATGTTGTTAGTGGGGTCCGCCAAGGTTCAGTGTTGTTAGTGGTGTCCCCCAAGGTTCAGTGTTGTTAGTGGTGTCCCCCAAGGTTCAGTGTTGTTAGTGGTGTCCCCCAAGGTTCAGTGTTG